TGTTATGGTCGAGTAGTTACTACTTTACGTTTACGTTTAGTACGAGGTAGCGATCGAGTCGTACTTGTACGTACTACGTACTACTACTACTATACTACTCTTCTCTTCTACTACTCTCTCCCTCCTCCTCTCTCTCTCTCTCTCTCTCTCTCTCTCTCCCCACTCTTTAATAGTGTTTGAAGGATCTCGCTCTCTCTTTCCCTCTCTCTCCCGTTCTCAATTCAACTCAGTGTTTATGCGGATGGACCCATGTAACTTGTCCTTGCAATATGCTTAATTACAGAGATTTTGTCAAGTCAATGTGTGTGCGTTTAAAAAAGTGGATCAGTGGGGTGCGATCATTTGCCCATTGATCTAGGTTGGCTAGATCGGCAAACTAATTTTTTTTTACAAAAAGAGAATATATATATATCATCATCATCCGAACCTTATCCCAATTGTTTGGGCTCAGCTTCATGATAGGGATGTGGCATTTGTATGACCCTAAAATTCGCACATGCGCTTTCGTCCCAACAATTGAACCAAAAAAATAAAACTTTTAATTTGCTCCGTAGTTATGGTTAAACAGGTTCCTCTCTAACAATGAATCTGAACCGTCCATTTGGTGAACTTTGAGATCTAGGCCTCAACGAATTCAAATTTAAATTTTCTTTTTTAGCACTATTTATCTAATGAAAATAAACCATTTACAAAATTACGAAAAGAAAAAGAATGACTCTTAGGCCTAGATCTAGGCATCTCACCAAATGGACGGCCTATGCTAATTGGGTTAAGAAATCACTTTTCAGGGTGTGTTTTCAAATTTTGTTTTTTTCATAATTGTTTAGCCAAATGGAAAGAGTGTATATGTAAAAGTCGAGGTCGGACAAATGCCCTTAGCATGGTTTTTGAAGATTGCTTCATTGTATTACACTATTAAACCATCACATGAAATCACTCCCCCATGTATAAAGATAGACACTTTGTCGGTTGTTATATATATGTATATATATATAGGAAAATGGTTTGATAGGGCTGCAACCGTATCAAAATAAGCAAAGCCTCTCCTCATAACTCATCGAAAATTGCAATTCAAGCTTTACATCGATCATCTTGGCTTGAACATTATGGTTGTGAAATAAAAAAGGATTTCAAGCTCCAAAAATAGTATATATTATAACAAATCATCTAGACCGTTCATTTTATCCTAAAAATAAGTATTCATAGATCCGCAAGATCTGTACCAATTTTTTAGTTTCGAATTTCATTGTCGATGTTGGAAATTGATTTTATAGCCATCATGGAGATTTATGTTGCCGAAAGTGCTTTCAGGACGAGGATTTGAGGTGAGGCTTTATTTTGTTTTCATAAAGCCTAGGCCTTATAGAAACCAAATTGTTCATCTTGATATCAAGATGCATGGACATGAGAAAAAAATAGATTTCAAGTTCTTGAAATAATGCATCTTGTAACGCATTTTTTGACTGTCAATTTTCAAGATTTTCAAGTTTCATAGATCTGCTCAATCTACACTATTTTTGAAGTTTTAAATTTTATAATTAAATATGAAAATATATTTTAAGGCTGTCACAAAGATTTCCATTACTAAAACCATATTTCTTGACACTATTTTTGTGTGTGTGTGTGGGGTTTGATCTTGCAATTGCCAACCACAAGGTCGGTGGTCCGAACCTTCAGGTCTTTTTAAGCTTTAAAACTAAAACTTAAAAGCCATATATTACCAACCACAAGGTCGGTGGTCTGAACCTTCAGGTTTTTTTAACCTTTAAAACTAAAACTTAAAAGCCATATATTAAAAACAATATAATATATTATGTCTGCCATATAAGGTGGTTCGAACTTCAGATCTCACATGGAAGAGTCATTCACAGTGACCGAAAAACCATCAATGCTTTGTGTTATATGTATGATATCTTGTAGAATAAATGAACCAGCCAATTGAACCCAAGAACTTGACGGTTCTGAGGCGATTCCCTTTCTAGATCGACGATTTTCAATCCAGATCGGGGAATTTCAAATCACTGATGTGTACAGATGGACCTATGTAACATGTCTGTTCAATATGCTCAATTACAGAGTTTATGCCATCTTTCTCTCTCTTTCTCTCTCTCTCTCTCTCTCTCTCTCTCTCGCTCTTTCAATTCAACCTAGTGTGTGTACGGATGGATCCGTTCAACTTGTCCTTTCAATATGCTCAATTATAGAGGTTTTGAAATATTTCAATTTCCACGCTCCTCTTTCTTATTGAGTAATAAAAAATAAAACCTACAGTCATTTAATAACCAGTGGCAAGCAATTATATTGATCACTTTGGTTTAATTTTTCTTAGAGATAACCGCTGATTAGGAAATATTTCTTTGCTGAGAATATTTTCATTATGGCCTAGTTTGATTAAGTATGGCATTTTATGAAATTACTATTTCACTGAAGATTGGACTGCATGACTTTTTTCAGGCTTATTTTCTAATGCAAGTTCCTGAAACAAGAATTGTTGCAGATGCACTGGGGTTTGGGTCGGCTCTTCTCTTTTCTGCAGTATTTGGTATGCTTAATGCTTTTCGTTCTTACTATATAAACTGACATTTCCAGTAAAACAATCATGTATAAACTTATAAAGAAATGCATAATGCTAGATAGCATTGTCTTAAAATGGGGGATGCAGCTCGATGCGGTCCAGATGCAGGTGCATCAACCCAATGCGGTCAATAAATATAAAAAAAATTCTAAAAAGTCTCAAAAATAGTTAATGTATGAAAAAAATATGGAGGTGATTTATGTGATAGGAGGTACGTAATTTATTCATTAACTCCAAAAGCATAAGCTGTCGGAGATTTTGTATCCACTATCCCCTGATCGATCATAGAAGACATTAGAAAGTAGAAACTAGAAATTTGTAACTAACTTTATAGAAGACAACAGAACTTAGAAGACAATATCGACGTCTTCTCAGCCCTTTGAAACCCTCGATATGTTGTCAAATTTTCGCTCAAACTTCCTCATATCAACATGCAAACTAATTCTGATCAACAGGCAAAGATCCACCAAGACAAAATTGAAAGATTTTCTCACAAAACAATTTCTGCTATTCTTTTTTTTTTTTGATTGATTGGATGGAAAAAGAGCTACGAAAGTGGCTGTTTTTTACTGTTTTGGGGGTTTAAATCACCCCCCCCACACCCCCCCCCAACTCCCCAAAACCCTTTCCCCCCTTATTCGGAGGGAAAAAATACCTAAAGACCCCATTTTGAGGGTTTTTTTTTATGACGCTGTTTGGGCGCTTATGTAGTGTGATGCGGACACGGCCGCATATGCGGTGTGATGCACTACGCGGCCGCATATGTGGTGGGATGCGGCGCATATGCTGGTGCATCCCACCAAAGCACATAGCGCTGTTTTGAGATGCGCCTCCTAGTGTATACCGCATGTTGTTTGTTTTGGTAAGGATATTTGTTTGTTTTGTTAAGGAGCATACATACATGTACTAGAAATCGGGTGTGATTGTATAAGGTCTCAACCTTAAACAATCAAAGTAAGGTACACCTCTAAATCTTGCTAGAGGATGCAGTGCATGTGCCGGAAGCCCGTATAAACTAAAAATCTATAAACACACGTAATTATAAAATTTAAAGCTCCATTAATGGTGTACATGAACCAGATCTATGAACACTTAATTTTTTTGAAAAAGGACTGTTTAGATAACGTGTTATTTATGACTCGAAATCCTTTTTTTCTTCATGTCTGTACATCTCGAGGTCGAGATGATCAATTGCAGGTTTTTTCAACACCAGAATAACCCTTTTGGGTAGATTTTAAGGTGCACCTTACTTCTACAGTATAAGTTTGACACCTTATAAAAATTTGGTCCTTCGAAATCTTTAGTTGTGATAAGGTCTATTTGGTAATTATGTTCTGTATGTTGTGCCTGCATCAGGTATAAGGTTAGCAGCCACTCGCAAGTTGGTTCCTGCTGGTCCTTTGTTGGGTCTCTCTGTTTGTGCTTTAGCTGTGTTTATCTCAGCATTTTTACATGACAGGATCTGATATCGATGTACCATCCAGATAGGTTTTCTTGCTTATTCTTATTTGGAACTGAAAATGCTTGGATGCCAATGTGTGCTCTGTATGTTTTTTATACATCGTGCTTGGAACTATGACATGGCTTAATGGATATCCATCCATATATCGGATTGTTTTCATCTTGTTTGTTTCTTGGGAACAGTTATTTCTGGCATAATTTGTCCAAAAAGCTTTGAACAATGGATTTACATGAAGACTCAGTCCAACAATTTGCCATACAAAAAGATACAGCCAACAAATCCATATATTTATCACTCATCACAAAAACAATCAACCTTTATTCTGTAACATAGGAACTACAAAGGGGAACCTGAACAATCTAGAGCTCCAGTGGAGGAGCTCTCATGAAATTAAACCTAAATATTCTCGAAAGCAATGTGGGCAGGACAAAATGACTAGTTTAAATTAAAAAACAAATCATTACTAAAAAGAATTTGAAACCAAATCTACATGCCATGTGGCGTGAATATCAAACAATGGCCCGGATTATATCCTTAGAATAGGATATATACAATTCCGATTATCTGAATGATTACGGCAAGGGCATGGACTGGTATTAAATTCGATGAGGAACTGTCATTGGTAGAACTTGGCACTGTGGTGGTGCTTGTGGGAGTGGTCCTGCTTGTGGGAGTGTTGGGGGAAGGACCTGCAAACAATTTAAACAAACTCAAAAGTGACAGAGAGACTGCGTTTGAGGTTAAACAAGCATGAGAGAGAGAGAGAGAGAGAGAGAGAGAGAGAGAGAGAGAGAGAGAGAGAGAGAGAGAGAGACGTAGAGTAGTACGTACGTAGTACGTACGACGACGTACGACGTACGTACGTACGTACGACGTACGTACGTACGTACGTACCGTACCGTAACC